TGAATATTTTTCCAGCAAGCTCTACATTATTTTCTAATGGCAGCAGAATCTGGTAATGCTAATGCTATGGCATATCTAGGAAAGGTAAGTTTTTTCTTAAGCTTCTAAAGATAAATTTTGTCTAGATGTGTTAATAAGTTCACAATTGCGAGTTTTAATTCTAAATATAACATTTATAACAAGATATTAACCTGTATAACATTTTCATCTAGATGAAAATAATAAGAAGTAAACACAAAAAAAATCCTACATTTAGATCTCAAGTGATATCTATTCTCAATAGTAATACCACTGTATTATAATTATAGATGTATGTTGAAGATAGTCCAGCTGTAGTACAGAATAATAAAACAGCTTTACATTATTTTAAATTAGCAGCTGATAAAGTAAGTTTTTAGATATATTACTATCAGTCATTTGTTAGTGTCTACATTGTCTCATATGTCCAAAAAAATAACATACAGAATTGATAAGTCAGATGTCTGGAATTATTATCAATTGTTTTTTTTTCTGTATTATAGGGTAACCCTGTTGGTCAAAGTGGATTAGGTATGATGCATTTACATGGTCGAGGTGTTGACAAGGTATGTTTTCTTTCATGTATGATATTGTATAAATAAATTTGAATGTTTTACTTTTATTGTATCATTGAAATAAAATGTAAATGATATATATACAAAAATGTCTTTTCAGGATCAAACAAAGGCTTTTAGATTCTTCTCATTAGCAGCAGATCAAGGATGGGTAGATGGTCAATTACAACTGGGTATCATGTACTTCAGTAAGTCTTAGATTTTTCCTTGATATTTGTTGTTTCCTTGGTTGTCTTATACAGCTGTTCAGGTTGTTAGTGATTCACTGATTACCTCCCCTGTAGACACTGTTGGCACTCAGTTTGCGAGTTCTGCTTGTTTGGAATTCAAACGCGGAACAAAAAGGAGGGTAAGCAGAAATCAAAATGAGAGAGACAATTTTTTATCACAGCTTTACTAGTGATTTTTTAAAACTTTTTTTTAAATGAATTAATTGTTGCTATATCTTCATGAACTTATTTTGATTTCAAATAGGTGGCCAAGGTGTAAGGAGAGATTATAAACTAGCTGTCAAATATTTTACATTAGCATCTCAAGGCGGCCATGTTTTAGCTTATTATAATTTAGCTCAGATGCATGCAACTGGTACTGGTGTATTGAGAAACTGTCACACTGCTGTAGAGGTAAGCATTGTATACTTTCTTATAAAAATCCATATAAGCAAGACAATTCCATTATTCAAAATCTTGTCCATATCATGGAAAAATTACAAGCAGACTCCTTGATTGCATTTGAATGATCTTGACGCTGCCCTGATATTTGATATGTAACTAGATTCTGCTCGTAACAGTAATGTTATGGGGAATAGATTTATGGAAAAGAATGTAAGCAGTCTAAAATATTTTGATTCTCTATTTTAGTTATATAAGAATGTAGCTGAAAGAGGAAAGTGGTCCGAAATGTTAATGGATGCTCATAAGCTATATAAAGAGGGCCATGTAGACAATGCATTAAATAAATACTTATTTTTAGCTGAGTTAGGATATGAAGTTGCTCAGTCAAATGTAGCTTATCTTCTAGACCAAGGTAGATATAGAAAACAGTACTTTTACGTCATAATTTTCATGAATTCGTTATACAAACAATTATTGAGTTTGTAAAGAGCAAACCTCCATGTCATTGACAAATTTCATTGCTAACATATTTTTAACAGATATTTATAAACCTTTAGTTCAATAATAGCAACTATTGTCAGCTTTTCTATCATGTAAAATTAAGGTGTACATGATTAATACTTGGAACTGGTTTGGAATTCAGAACTTAAGTATTAAGTACATATAATTCCGAAGTCTTATATTAATTTTTACGATTTTTGTTATTAGGTGAATCAGCAATGTTTCCAGTGACAGAAGGCTATCAGAGAGCTTTGTTACAATTTACTAGAGCAGCTACACAAGGTTAGTAAATAACACTGTTTTTATAGTAAGAAATGAAATATCTGTACTTATATAAGAAATGAGTGTATTATAAAGAAATATATTACAATGTATCAGATATATACTGTAAGAATTGATGTAAGATGATTAACTTCCTAACATCCAATCGATTATTAACCCCCATATCTACACGCCCAAATGAAATGGGGGACATATTCTGGTATCACCCAAACCCGTCCATCGGTCAACAATTGCTTGTAAATAACTAGAAGGCACAATTTTTGGCTGATTTTGACGAAACTTTGTGTGAATGCTTGAAATCACCCAAGGATGAACCCCATTGAAAATCAGCCAAATATTAAGTATGAATTATTGCCTTTGCTCTTAAAAACGCATTCAATTTTTGCTTGTAAGCATTTAAGAATGCACATTTCTTGGTTTGAGTCTTAATCACCCAAAAAGTTTTAAAACATGTGTATGACTTTGAAGGTTGACTTTTGATTGTATTATTCAAAATCAAAGATGCCAGTGGGCGTTTATTACCTTGCCTGGCAAGCTATCTTTAATTTTTACCAGGAACGTAATATGGATAAAATACCTGTCGATCCAATGGTCTGGTTTCTGCAGAGCCTTGATCAGGGACAAAAATGGGGGATATATGAGTCTCTACTGTTATTAATGAACAATAAGAATAACAAAAGGATTATATATTATTTAAAAAAAACAGATATTATCTAACAATTGAATATTTCAGGTTCCACTATAGCCAGAGTTAAAATGGGAGACTATCATTATTATGGATATGGTACTGAGATAGACTATGAAAGTGCTGCTATACATTATCGTTTAGCAACAGAACAACAGCATAATGCTCAAGCTATGTTTAATTTAGGCTATATGCATGAATATGGTCTAGGTTTAAAACAGGTAAGAGTTGTCTCATAGTAGTATTAATTTTGCTGTTATTTTTTAGTTATAAGAATGAACTGAATCAGTGAAACACTACTGCAAATGAACTTTTTTCCAAAATATATAAAACTATGTATCCTTAATTCAGATTTTGATTTACAAAGTTTCATTTTAGAGAAAATATTCTGGCACAGGCTGGTATTGATAATTGTCATTAAAAAGCAATTGTTATTTGTAGGACATTCATCTGGCCAAAAGATTTTATGATATGGCAGCAGAAACGAGCAATGATGCTCAAGTACCAGTTACTATAGTTTTATTAAAACTAGGATTATTTTATGGGTTTGAAGTGTTTAATAAAGAGGTAGGATATTACCATTCTTAACTATACTTGATGTCCAACAGAGGCTTGTGATTCTCCGACATGTGCTCCATGACAGACGTAGAGCCAAATTACAGACCTGCATGATGTTTATTTTTGAATGATGATTCTGACTGAGTTTTGTAAGCATTTTGTTTCTCATGTTTGCTGCTTTGTTTTCAATTCAATATAAAAGCAAGTGAATGATATTTCTGTTTATTTTTTAGTATGAAAGTGTTAATGAAGTGATAGGAAAACTAGATCCAAGACTATATTTTGGTCCTGATTGGGAACTATATTTATTGGCGTTATTAGCCTCATTATTAGTGATGGTGATAATGTTACGTCGTGCAGCGTAGTGATATGTAATCCTGTGTGTTATTTAATGTTTTTGGTGCTAGGGGTTTCTGACAAGAGGACTTGCTAAAAGGGAAGCTCAATGAAAGTCAAATCCTACTTTTCAACACCTATCTTCTTACTACATGGAAATTCCATTTCTTTAATTTGTGTTGATACGTATTATTGAACTATTGCACGTCTTTCAAATATGTGATCTTGATATTTGGTTTAGGTAAGAGACTGAAATTGGCTGTGAATTGGGAAACCTATTTAGAATCACTATTCCATTGGGTGAATTGTATAGCGATTGTTAGTCATTTTGTCTTGAGTACAGCTATGTACTTCAATGATTTGATATGACATCATTTGCTTCCAAGGTCTTCATGTTCTCAATGAATTTGCAGAATTAGTATGCATTTATTATAAAATTTTATATCGTATGATTAATTACCATTGAATATATATACATTATTCATTTCATTGTGTTAGTATTAGTATTAATTTTTTAAATAGGAGAATTTGTAGTCGCAACCTCATGCTATGATCTCATTGATACATATTTATAAGTAAATGGGATGGTAAAGAGGTTTTTGTAAGCTATATATATGTCTGAGGTACACTGATAGCATTTATTTGAACCATTCGAATTTTTAGCCTGATATTTTTTAAATTAAGTGATTTATGACATAGATATCAATAGGGCCTTAATACATAATTAGACGCTTTTGTGTTTTGTGAAGCATTTCTATGAAAGAAACAATCTGACTGAAAGCTGAATGTTGTAAATAGAGGTTATAAATTGCCCTGTTACACATAAAAAAGAAAACCTCTTTATAACCAATAACCACATATTATCAGATAAGATGAAAACATAGATTACTGCACAAGAAAAAAATAGCATTGTAGCACTGTCCATTATACCATGTTTCCAAAAATTCAGCTTTTATTCTGGTATTACTTTAGTTTTCTATAAAGCATGTATAAGAGTTTTTATATCTATGAGAACTGCTCTACTTTATCTTATTATGTTTTCTATTTAATACCTGATTCATTGCTTTTTTCACACATAATTCATTTTACCAACAGGTTTTACACCTAATTCTATAATTATATTAGTTAAGGCCTTTGAAAAAATCTTTAAAGTCTGACTTCCCTTAGATAATTTTTTATGCTGTAGGTTTTTGGAGCTTATTCTCAATTTCTTTTCTAAATTTGTATATTTTGTACATAAAATTATCATATTTGTAAATAGTATAAGACAATAAAAAAAGTATCAATGAAAATACAAAGAGATAAATCATAATGTAAATAAGATATGATATATATAAATAAAATATGATATATAAATCTATGTAAATAAATGATAAATCTTTGTATAGGAAAAACAGTATGAATGGAAAATTATTGTGTTGTTTGTTGTCTAGATATCAAAATGTTTTCTTTTTTTTAGGTTTGTTATTGTTGTTAGTTATTTTGATTATGATATTATTGTACTATGTTTCTCTTTAGGTTCTATGATTGAAAGCTAAACCTGATTTTGGTTAAAGAATGCTTGGTGAAGTACAATTAAAACTATAAAACCTCAAAACTGTTTATATTCAACATAGGATGCAAAATATATATATTGTCTTTTCAAGTCTAGTGAACTAACGCAATGAGTGTTTAAAGGGTTTAGGGAGATAAGCATACATTTTTTTTTTTTTGCTCATGTAAACACTGGTGGAACAATGTTAGTCAATGCACAAACAATGCTAAACCTATGTGTTAATGAGTTCTACCGTTGTATCAGTTTTGACAGCCATTTTTGGTTTTGATAACTGAGCACAATTTTATACTACTCCCTAGTTTTATTGTACATTTTCCTTCACCCGTTATTTAATGTAATATCTAACCATAAATATCGCTCAATTATTATTTATTTGGATGTGCCTAATATCGGAGTGTAAAGTGTACAACAACGAAATGTATGCTAGCTGCATGTTCTTCTACATAACTCTCAAACAGTGACCTAGACATAACTCAAAATACGATCTCGACACAATCTTCTTCTACATAGCTCTCAAACTACTATCTCACTATCGGCGTTTACATATTCTCATACCATCTACGTCTAATAGCTCTCATCTACTATCTCCATACTATCGACGTCTACATAGCTCTCAAACTACTATCTGCGTCTACATAGCTCCCAAACTACTATCTCCAAACTATCGACGTCTACATAGCTCTCAAACTACTATCTCCACACTATTGACGTCTACATAGCTCCCAAACTACTATCTCCACACTATCGACGTCTACATAGCTCTCAAACTACTATCTCCACACTATCGACGTCTACATAGCTCCCAAACTACTATCTACGTCTACATAGCTCCCAAACTACTATCTCCACACTATCGACGTCTACATAGCTCTCAAACTACTATCTCCACACTATCGACGTCTACATAGCTCCCAAACTACTATCTACGTCTACATAGCTCTCAAACTACTATCTCCACACTATCGACGTCTACATAGCTCCCAAACTACTATCTCCACACTATCGACGTCTACATAACTCTCAAACTACTATCTACGTCTACATAGCTCTCAAACTACTATCTCCATACTATCGACGTCTACATAACTCTCAAACTACTATCTACGTCTACATAGCTCTCAAACTACTATCTCCACACTATCGACGTTTACAAAGCTCTCAGACTACGATCTCCACCCTATCTTCTTAGTACTTCTACATAGCTTTCCAACTACAATCTCTAACACTATCTACGTCAACATAGCTCTCAAACTACGATCTCATATTATGGGCTTTTACATAGCTATCAAACTACGATCTCCTAGTACAGCTATCAATTTCAACATTAATCTAAAACTACGATCTCGACATTGTCATTCATTACTACATAACTCCCAAACTACGATCTCTGTACCCTAGGTCGATCTCGACGTTTCTACTGTGTAGAGGGTGATAAGTGTAGAGATGGTAGGAAGAGAGTTACGTGGGAACTAATCGTGTAGAGATGGTAAGCAGAGAGTTACGCAGGAACTAATCGCGTAGAGATGGTAGGCAGAGAGTTACGCAGGAACTAATCGCGTAGAGATGGTAGGCAGAGAGTTACGCAGGAACTAATCGCGTAGAGATGGTAGGCAGAGAGTTACGAAGAAGGTAATAGTGTGGAGATCGTAGGTGCGGAGCTATATGGGAGGTAACAATCGAGAGCGTACTAAGAGAGCTGTATAGAAATCGAGAACGCAACCAACGGGATGCATGTGTCCTCCTACTGTAAAATATTGTCGTTTCAAGTAGCTCCTACATCTTACTTCAGAACCATATCCATACCAGATTCTCTGACAGTGGAAACACTTCAACAAAAGGACTGGAAACAGTCACTTATAAAAATATTTATTTTTTTTAAACTATATCATTTAAATTAATCATAATAACAATCTTTATTTCAGGTTCAGTTGAAATTATTTTGGAGAATTTAACTTCTTGAATTTGGCTCTTTTGTTCTGAAACCAAATTTTTATCTGAGATTCATTCAATTCGAGTTCTGATGACAGACTTCTTCTTTTGGAGTCTGTAAGATATTTATTTTCTTCAAATTCTACTTGTAATCTATTCAACTGATCTACTGTAAAAGCTGTTCTTGGTCGTTTTTCATTTAGTTTCCTCTCTTTCTTTCTTTCCTTCTTATTTCTCGGACCTGTAAGATTTAATGATAAGATTTGTGAAATTCTCAAACAACATTCTAATTATAAATACAAATCTGTGCTGTCAATCATCTCGTATGGGCCAATCAACATCTTAATTTAAAAGTAAAGATACATGATAAATCATTTGTAGAAATAGTAAGATATCTGTCAGTACAATATCATTATATATAATATTTATTGTAGAAATACGATAAAAACATAGTACTGAGTGATATGCTTGGAAATTGTATCCCCTAATTCTTCAATTTATCGTCTGAAGTACAAGCTTTCTTTCAACTTTGCCAAATTGAAATAAGATAATCAATTTCGACAATCCAGCTTACTTGAGGTAAAGCATGGTTATCTCAAAAGGAACTTCATTCTGATCTGAGGTTAACCGTGGCATTTGTTTGAATCTTAAGGGGGGTGGGGGGTATCGACCACTGAATCGTCAAAGGTGGGGTGATCACAGGTAATTCTTCCTCTATGTCAAATGATATAAATTATAAAGTAAGAGTTTGGGGCCGGGCTGGCCTCAGGTAGTTCTCCCCTGGCCCACCTAGAATTACCACGGGTTGAAGATGGGTTTCCTTATTTTCATTTATGAAATGCTAATACTTATATGAATAGAAATTAGGTGTTCTAATGACTTGGAAAAATACCAGTTTGTCTCACTTGTCCATAATTAATTCATAATTAGCTAAATTAGAAGAGAATTACCAGCAGAATTCCAATGAGTGGCCGATCAAGAAAGGTCAAAACGTCTTTTATTGTTTATCCAGCCTGTACATACATGGACATTTATAATTGGTTAAAACTCTTAATTAAATGTGATAAGAACATAATGATATGATTAAGAATACGTGATAATTCATCAGAAATAGTTGATGTCTTGACGATGAAACCTGAAATGGTCCCGAGCATTCTAAAAGAAAAATAATACCGGGTCAAATTAATTTCTTAATATCAGTTGTTTGAAATATTTAAAGTGGTGTCGATGAGATAGAAGATAAGAGTATCCTACCAACTGTTTTGAAGATTATTTAACATCTATCAAACGGCCTAATAGAGGTTATCTTTAAAAACTTTAACTATTTGGTAATTAACAAATCTTTTAAACTGTCAAAGTTTTTAAGAAAAAAGACAGACAAATAGTTTGTGATATAAGATAACTCTTGCGATCGTTAAATGTTTTGGAGTAATATTATAGTAAAAGTATGTTTTCCTTGCCACGCCCTGTCATTCTGTCTGAACATTTGTCCTTTTTCCGAATATACCTTAATGCACACAACTGTGTCTTTTAACGGTCAATATAATACATAATATTTTAAAAGATACCAGTGGTCGACTTTAAAACTGGAATATTTTTTCTTAGTCCTGAACTTGGATTTTCTAAATGGTAAGCCTCTTAATACAAACTAAACGACTCAATGCATTCATATTTGCTAATTTAATAGTCGTTTGATGTCTTATCGTGTTACAATGTGCCCTAAGGAACAGGATGGGTGAAATAAGGAGAAAGAGCCTAATGGACCCCACACGCTGTGTATGGCACATTTACTTGGAGGTATTCAGAATAAAAAATCATCTTGATTTATGATCTATGATTGTGAGACATCTAGCGTTTGATCCAAAATAACCAAATTATAATTTTGGACAAAAATTTCCGTGAAAATATACCGTTGCCGCCCCCAATTTTAGTATTTATTGATTTATGCCTTCTATATTTGTAGAATATTATAAAAATACGTTACCTGCAGAAGGTCTATCTGAGTATCTTGTACAATAAATCCAAGACGGCCATGGTACATCTTTTACTAGATCCAAATTAGTATTCTTATCTTTATTATTCTCTAGCACTGGATAGTTATATTTCACATCATTCAATTGTCCTGTATGTTTTGTCTCTTTGGAATGTTTGACAGAATCACATATATCATTCTGAACTTTCTGATCAAACTTCTGGGAACATCTCCCGCCAAAACTTGGATCCAAAATATCCTTGATAAAAAATCCCTTTCTTTTATTCATTGGAATCATCGGATAAGGTCCATAAAAAATCACAAATAAAGAAACTCAAGAAAATTAACATCAAATGAGAAGTAATGTATTTTATTTACACGTGTTAGAAAAGAGTTGAAAATTTCTTGAACCATCTTGTTGTCAATCAAAGTCTAAGTAACCAATGAACATTGAGATATCAGATATTTTAGAAACCTTCATTTTTAACTAGTTAGTTATTTTCTTTCAAAAGACATCATTATTGTCGTTTAACATTTTAATAAAAGAGGTGGTAGCTATCAAATATCTCAACATCACTGCATGTTCATTCAGAGATAATCATCTTAAATTGCTATACAAAGCGTGCCCTAATGTTTACCAATATGCCCCTGGGGTGAAGGAACAATCAGGTAACTTACACCTGAACGGACCGAGATATTGTACGACGCCTTAACACTAATGCAATATTTTGGAGGTTGTCTGGAATGCTCGTCTTTTATTCTACACCCTAACATCCCTGCTGCTTTGGAAATAGAAAAATTAAAGACAAACATAAACAAAATTATACTGTCATATAATTTTATATTTTAATAAACATATCATCTTGATAACAATCTTAATGTCTAAAAAATATATCCAAATAATCTTAGTCATAAATACAGAAATATTCCGCAAGATTATTCAATCGTACGAGAGTTGTGCGTGAAAGCTTTTTGCTTGGAAGGAAAGGTTAAAGTCAGACAGTTATTGTAAAGCAAGATTGTAAATACAGTACACAACACACAAAGAGTATATTTATCTTTTGAAAACAAATAACGTAAGCATAAAAGACATACAAAGTAAAGTTTTTAAATCATTCAACGTCAACAAAAACAAGCATACAAAATATAATTACATGCATAATAGAATTTAAAAGCATGCAAACTAAATTACTTTACGAAGTATACTATTAAATATATATATATATATTCTTTTTACATATTACATATATCAGTTCAAATGGCGCACATGTGTGCGGCAGACTATAATATCTGCTGTAAATTCACTTAATATGTTAATGACATGTCAAAAATCAATCATTCATATGATAGATTTAATCCTAATCCTTTCCATTGGATTGGACTTTTACCTGTCTAAAATCTTAAGTGATATCGTGCTGAGTTCAGTTCAACTTTCAAAAGGGGGTTATTTACTCTTCATTGACTAGGATGATGTCCAGAAATGGTCAGAGACGGACAGACTTGTTCAGGGTAATTTTTCATTATTTGTTCTTTATAAATGTAAAAGCATCCTGTCAATGCCAAACCAACGACACAAACGACACCTATACAAACATCAACCAGTAAATTTATTTTAATGATGTCATTCTAGGCAATATAACAACATTAACATCTTGCTATTTTGAACAGATATTGGAAACGTAAATAGAAAAGAAACGGAAAGAATTACATTTAACGTATCAATGGCCGCATTTTTTTCATATTATTGTAGAGTCGAATTAAGAAAAGTGAAACCGTCCACTTAAATTAGGCTCTATTACAAAATTCTGGACAACTATATTCAAGTGATGCTCTAAGAAAAGTTTACTATGTAATATACCGAGGACATGCTTTATAACGATTTCACGTTCTATGAATGACAACGACCTACACCTATAGTACTTAGTTCACCGAGTGTGAAATAGGATCATATTTTTAAATCACTTATAAATATACAACGAAAAAAGACATTAAAGGCAATAGACTACTTTTAATAGATACATCTAGATAATATCTCAATGTTCTAATTTCAGCTTATCCTGGGCAAAAGATCGGCATCTTTTATGTACTATCAAATATCATAAATAACTGACAGTTAATTATTCAGATAATTTCAAAGCTTTTTTACGGTTGTTCGTTAAATGTCTTAAACAAACCAGCGTATATACTTGAATATTATTTCAATAACGTTAAATATGTCCTTAACAAGAAAAAAAAATCAATGTCCTAAACGAACCACCGTACTTCTTCACATTTTCTTTTAAGTTTCGACTTTGTCAAACAGACCACAATTAGCTTTCAATCTATGATCAAGTTTTGAGTGATTTTTTACTGATTTAGGCCGATGATTTTAACGATATGAAATAGGAATGGTGAGAAGATGGAAGAAGACTTAATTTAGAATATGTATGAACTTGTTTTTTTTCTTTCTAAAATCTTTCCTTGCGAACACGCTAAACAGAACGCAGTATCTCGGAAGTATCTTCTTACACACGACAGAAAATCGTAAATCGCTGACCACAGTCCTCAATCGAGTTAGATTCGATGACATTTCCCTTCTATCATAAGAGAAAAGCTTTATCTTCATGTCTATCGGGCGTTGGTTTTGTTTTGTCAGTTTTGCTCAAGATATAACATTATCAAGTGGACACCTATTTTACTTTTGAGTTACTATCAGAGAGTGAACTTGCCGTGCCATGAATTGTGCACTGAGAGAAATTTGGCCTGTGCGGCATAAGCCTACTGTTTTTTACATTCCAGATTATAGTTGTAGTCAACACTGCTTACAGCACCTTGGTTTGTTGATCCATGTGAAAGATTAGACAATTTTTCCATGCCAGCAACTCTGACCTTCATGACAGTCAGACGAAACCAGATATATTGTAAAAATAAAAATTGTGTACAATATTTGGATGTTTTAGTTTATTTACATTTGATATATGAAATATTTACAAAATGAATATGATACAGGAGGTTTCTGTTTTCTCAGCTTACTAAACCTAAAATAAAATAGATTCATTCAACCAATTAGTAATAAAAATAACAGAATGATAAAATTGCAATTAAAACCCACAATTTTCATCCATTCGGCATTGGCTAAATTCTTTATTAAGAGAATACTTATTCACCAATAATATCTCAATCATGTGACATTTTTACTGACAGCTAGCAAGCTTCGCTCCCTCAGCCCAATTCCCAATCATGAAACTTTTACTTATTATTATTTCACTATTACTTAGTACTTGTGTAATCCATGAATTTAATTCCCAACAATTACGCTTTTATGAATGTTGGTTCTATTTGCTATTTCTACTGTTCTTAATTGGAAATATCTCATTCAAGACAGAATAATGTACATAATATATGATTCTAAACTTACCTAAATAATCATCCATCAATGTACCTATGGCAAACTGGAAAGACAAGATAGAATTTATGGATTATGTCTAATGAAAGCATTTTTAAAAAAAAAACTAATAATGTTGTAGTTAATGAGATACACTGTTTGATGGATTAATATACATGTACAAATATTTCTAGGATACTGACAACTACTCATTAAAAGAAAACTGAATTAAGAACTTGTTTCTGATAAAATGGTATAGAGTTAATATTGACTGGAGAAACTTGGGTGAAAAATTTGAAATTGAGGGTACCAAATACACTGTACATTTACATGCAAATATACAATATACATCAATTGAGGAATCCTTATACTTACTATATCTTTAGCATCAACTCTTGTACCTACTATTTTAATTCTTATTTCATCATCTTGCTGTACCACAATATCCTAATATATCATATAAAATTTTTATTACTGTACAATTTACATTGACAAGATTTAACAATTAGCTGTATGTGAACGATGAAATGGCCAATGATCATTCAAGACATGATATTTACATTGGGTTTAATTTGTACCATTTTTAAAGATAACCTTGTGAAGCAAGGAGACATACGCCCACCAGCAGCTTTGATTGCAAGTACAAATCATTGTTTGTTGTCCATTCACATTTGTTTAGTCTATTGAGAATTTTACGCAAACTTTATTGTATCGCATCATGCCAGGTTTTCATAGCATGCCTTGATAGAGCATAGAGTATGTGTTGGCATATAAAAATCAAAAGAATTGTTGCCTGAAGAGTGAGCAAAAGTTTTACTATATAGCTTACGGATCATTACGAAAATCGATAGGGATCATCTTCATAAGGACATTGACCCACAAAATAAAAATCCAAAGAATCCATAGAGAATTGTAGCCTGATGAGTGGGCACAAGCCAAATGGGACTGGTTAAACTTTTTTTTGGCATATAAAAACAACTTTTATGCACTTTGTCATTTCTTCTTGGTATACTAAATGACTTGAAAGGTAGAGGAGTAAAATGTGATACCTTACCTCATCTTTAGTTTTATAACAAGGTGGATTAGAATTAGGATCAAACTCCATATCAGCAGGTATAGACTATAAAAAGAATCAAAATAACCATTGAACACTTTAAACTTTTCTGTCAGAAACAGTTGATCAAAGAATATTCAATGCTTATGAGTTCTAATTTTTACTTAATTTATTGTTAATGGCCAATTTTTAGGTTCTTTGGAGAAATGATGTAGACATATAAATATACATAATGACACGATTTGTGGATCATTAAGACACTAGTTTAGAAGAGTGTTGTTATTTATTTTGGGTACAGGTAAGGTTCATTTTTGACTACTGTTTAATTTTTCTCTGTATATAACTTCATTTTTTTCTAATTATAAGACTCTTCCTATTGATTATTGACATATAAAAAAATTTGAAACCTACATGTCGTGATATAAAGCAGGACAATGGTCCGACTTCAGTGAATAATCCAACCTAAAATACAACAAGAATAAGTTATATGGAGTAATAGGTTAATGCCACATGATATTTGTAGTATTGGCCCCACTATTACTTTGGTAAATTTTGACTTGGTTCTTCAAGAGGTTCTTTGGCCTTTATATTTGTAGCTTCTTGTTGGTTTCACCAGCTGCCGTTGCTAATGCCATAAAGGAACCAATACAAGAAATTATAATGGTAAAAACAGAAGCTTATAAGAGTCCCTGGCATTATATACAGAGGCATGGTAACCTTCTCCTTACATAATATATTCATAATAAACAGTTTAAAAAGTTTTTCATTAAAGCATACCTTGTTTACTTGAGTAACCACGGCATCTAAAACTTCACCTTTGAACGGTCTGAATACAATAGCTTTATATTTAACTGGATATAATACAAAACCTCTACTAGGTTGTATTAAACCTGCTCCTATATTATCAATAGTTGTTACTGCTATAACAAAACCATACCTTTAAGATAAAAATAATAATGGATATAGATCTAAAACAGAATAAGCATATTATAGTGGATTTCAATGGATTGTTATTTCATGACTTGTAAATTAAAATCTTATTATTACAATATGATGAAAACCAAAGTTTACTCTGAATTTCTGTTTTAACTTTCCATGCATAAAAAATTCAATCTAAGCAACTGAAATACAATTAATTTGCCATTGCAAGACCACAGTTTACTAAGAAAGCTGAAATATATGAGCTTCTTCATGTTCAAGCTTATTGTGTCAGTTGTACATTTATTTACAAATATTAAACAAAACAAAAGGTACACAAAGAATTTTACACCGTGGATCTCCTCTTAACTACAGTATTTCAATCTATATCTGCTTAACAGATTGACAATAAGTATTTGTTCTCATGTCCACACTTTAAGATAGCATCTAGTTTATTTGATTATTGACAAGTTAACTTACTTTCCTGTACATGTTCCTTCTACTTCAGTAAATAATTTCTTTTTCACTATGTTCAACAGATTTGGGCCAAAATATCTTGGATGTAGTAAAATTTCATGCTCTAAAGAAACCTGAAAAAAGGAAAGGCTATTATAATTGCATTGTCCATGATTAATTTAGGTCAATGATGTTTGGTTTATCTACATCCTATAATGTTAGACGGGACCTTGTCACTTTGATGAAATGGACCTAATTCTGACCAATGACAATGTTAAACAGAAAGACAATAGAAATCGATGTCAGTGTTGGTGCTCAGATTGAGAAGACAATCAAAGAAAGACTGTTGTCAATGGTTTACTTTTAATTACACTGATTATAATTCTTACATGATAAAACATTATAAGATTTTAAAACAATCAAATAAGCTTAATAACAGGTTTCTAAAATTTCATAAATAATTTCTCTACAACACGCGCCATTGGCCACACTTAATTTCAAGATAAATATTTTACGGAACGCATAAACTCTAATTTTAGATATTATTCTGTCCTTGATAAACCACACATTCTAAAAATTGTATCCGAACTGATTGCAACTCATGTAGATCCACGCTTTCTGGTAAAAATATTTTTTTCTATTTAATGTTTTGTTTTCTATTCGGATTTATTTTGGACAAAATACTTTTTTTAAGTGTATCCAAGGGAAGATAACTTTTAACGACCCGAGGCATGGAAAAGAATAATTTTCATTATTTTATATTTTTTCTATAGTGGTAAACCATTGATTATTAGAATAATTGATGCAGCGATGATGTTAAGAAATTCATGTTTAGCACTGTCAAAACAATTTTCAAAGCCAACAATATCGGTTTTGAGTCACTGCATTGAACAAGTTCGCCCTAACTTATTATTGACAGCAAGTGCCTTCAGAAGGGTAAGCTGGAGAAAACTTCTTATTTATTTCATTAGGATAACATGCATCACAGAAAACATTTCAATCAAATAAACCCAGTAATTGAATTGATATTGTATTTGCACTCCTGACTATGAGCATGTCAGAATTCAATTTGCTGGTATGGGCTACTACTTGGTGACTGACACTAACAGTGCATTCAACTAACTCCAATACTCTCGGGGTCCGCTAGAATTGGCTCTTTACCTTGCAAAGAAATTTTATACATAAATCATGGTCATGTTTACTATCCTGAATTTATTGGATGGAAGGATTCAAAAGGAACAAAGAGACTTCTCGACCATGCAATTTTTTTTATGACTAATGATGGAAGCTTACCGATGATTCAGGAACATCATTGTGTTGCTAGACACAAAATTAAACTATATTTGTATTCTGTAATCTGTACATGGTAGGGAACACTTTTTTATTTCATTTTATATTTTAGCTCTCAATCACACCTGTAAAATGTCAACAGTTTACTTCGACCAAGTCAACAAATGCACAGACGGATGGTAAGGATTAATTGATCAGTTGAATCCAACCTTGAGCTTCTTAAAATTTTTCCAAGCTTATTATAAGCTTAGGCTTTTGTTAACATATATGCAAAATTTATATGGTTGAAAGGACAAATCCAAAGTTCTACTTCAGTAAAAATTGGAAATGCATTCTACCACTATGAAACCATAAATGAAACCCCATGAAATTACCGATGATAAATGTTGTTCAAAAGAATTAGAAATAAGGGATATAGATATTTATAAGATTTATCAGTTTTTTTATTTATTTTAGAATCACAATGGAAACCAAGTGGAGGATCAACTCAGCCAGTTATTTTATCACGTGATATCCAGTTCCCACCACCTAATATTCCACCTAAACAGGCCTGGGTAGAATCTTTAAGTACAATAGAGGAAAATAAAGTTGGTTTGATTGACTTACATCCAGATATATTTGGTGCCTTTCCAAGGTTGGTTTCATGCGATGAATATATTAAAGGGGGAGTGTGTGCAAGTTTTATAAAAACAGGAATTGTCTCAATAATCTTAGGTGGTCAATAATTTATTTTATCTTATTGATATTGTGAAGTCAATTTTATTTTTTGCTATTTACATCAAGTCAATTAATGTTAATTTCAAAATAAAACTTGCCAGTTAAATAATGTTCCTGATGCACATGCAGATTTCTTTCCAATCACTTTTTGTTTGCCTAGACAGTAACAGAACAAATGTTTATATATTCCAGAATTGATATAATACAAGAAAATATTACATGGCAAGTGAAATATAGAGTCATAGTAAGTACGCTTATGCTTGATTGGTCCAATTTGTCCTGACATAAGTCAGGATAGTACCTGTAAGGTTTTCCAAAATTTTTTCCTTCTGCCAGTTATTGTGGTCAGAAGAGACTGATATTGACAGGAAAGTTTCTAGTCGTTAGGCTTAATGATACAGTTGGAAATCAATCAAGAGTATGCTGGTGGCAATGTTTCAGCAAAATTTCTTTCACTACACATTGCATAACATTATCCAACAGAAACCTAAGATAGGATATTAAACTACATATCATGTTATTTTTCGTAGATTTGATAAAAACAAGATGGCTCTTTTCTTGATTATTGAGATCTTGTCCAGTGGGCAGTTTTTGGCTAATTGTTATTGTGAGTATGATCTACCAGGAAATACTGACTTGACTTAGAAAATTATATTTTGATTTTCAAGGATTACAGATGTTTAAAAACAAGAGCTGAGGCAAGAGGTGGTGGAAGAAAACCTAGACCACAGAAAAAAAGTGGCCCCAGAGTAGGAAGTCTTAGATCACCCTTGTATCCTAAAGGTAAGAATAGCTTACTGAGTAATTTGACGTCCTATAGCAATCTGTCCTGTTTACAGTTTAAGATGAGATTTTGTCTATCAGAATTTATGCTTGCACTTATTGACCAAGCCATTTATGTCATTGAAAATTTATTCTATAGGGATTAAAGATTACTTTGATTAAAATATATAGGGATTAATCTTACTGAATGCTCTTTCTTTTGTAATGTTATAAATCAATATTTCATGTTACTTCCAGGTGGTTCTGCATTTGGACCTCGAGGACCTAAAAGCAACTTTTACATGTTAAATGATTCATTAAGAACTCATGGTTTGTGTTCAGCCTTATCTATAAAACTAGCACAGGTTAGAAAACTAGTTTTTGTATGTATTTTAACATTGATCTCAGTAAAATATGGGTTTGTTGTCTGTTTGGAATCAAATAATAAACCTTATTTTTATGGACATTCTCTGGTTAAGATATCAAACATTATGTCATGATAATTGCATATGGAAAGTTATGATGGCCTTGCTATTGAGTAAGTCATCATTTACAGCTTATGATTGATTTTTTTGAGACAAATTGGATGTTGAATATTCTTTGTAGTAAGTGATATAGATGACTCTTGAGTTTTAGCTCTATCGGTTGACATTACTTTTTCCATTTTTATTTCAGAATGATTTGTATTTTGTTGATTCTTTAGAAATACCTTCAGATGAACAAGAGGTAAATCTATTTGATTAATATGATAAAACTAAACATAAGCAAGCAGGAAAGAATTTTTATCTAATCATTAAGGAAAAGTCCTTTTTGCATTTATGGAAATTGAGGAAATATTGTTGTTATTATAGTATATGGAAGATTTAGTAGATGCCAGATTTTGGGGATTCTCTCTATTATTTGTTGATGAGTAAGTAGAATACTATTGTTTATAATTAAAGATGTTTAAATAACTATTAACACTAGATGTTATTTTTCATATGTATATCAATTCATTAATTAATTAATCCATTTTTGTCAAAGTCTAATATTTCAGTGGGTCGTGCTCTGATAAAAATCTGAGGTACTAATATATATTTTGTACTTGTTTGTATTTCAGCACTGATATAATGCCTAGAAATATTACATTAGCTGTAGAAGAAAAACCTAGTTTTAACCTCATGCCACTTTATGGTAAGCATAGATTGTATCATTGTTTTCATTGTTTAATCACAGCAACCTATTACACAATTCAAAAATCTAGTTAGTCTACATTAGAATAAAACATATTGTGACAGTATTTCTAGTTTCCAGATTGGTGGGAGGATGATGATAGTGAACAAAAAGCTTGGATTGCTTCATCAGTTTATAATTGAAATACATTTTAATTTGTCATTTAATCTAAAACTGGTTTAGTTCGAGAAAATTTATCAGCCTCTCCTTGCATATTTAGGTGTATCTTAGCTTTTGATTGTGTAATCAGGCTACCCCATTTCATTTTGAATATTGTTAAAAAAAAGTTAAATGGGAATGTAAGTGTTTCCAGCCTTTCTGTGGTGATGGAATTGTTTTAAACACAGTTCAGCAATCTTGCAAAAAAATGTTCCATTATATTTCAGGGCTAAATGTATACAGTATATTAAAACATGAAAAGTTAGTGTTAACAACAGCAGCAGTGGAAAAATTAGAAGAAAAACTTTTATATCAGTTACATAGAACTGAGAGACAAAAGCCTTATATATTAGATAGATAGATGAGTCTTTGTGATTTGTTTCAAAGAATGTGTATTTTGATTTTTCAACAGTAAACAAGAATGTGTCAATAGACATCATTAGTATTTACTCTTGCTATGATTGTTATATTGTAAAAGCATCCATTCTTACTCTCCATGTCAGATATATATTGAAAGACGTCCCTCTTATGGATATTCAACACCAAGGGTATAATCCTGGTATTTCCCCTTTATTTCAAGAAAGGATAGCATATCTTGCTTTTGGGAAAGCTTTAGAACTTCAGCTTCACTACGCTATTGCATTGATCCGGCTAAAGATTTGGAATGCAAAAGCCTAGGTAATGATATTTGAAGGAAATGTTCAATGTTATTGAAAAAATTGAAAAAAATAGCATTTTAATAAAACGTATTATAATTCATACACCATAAATAAATTATGTACATGATTTAGATTAAAAATTTAAAATATCAGTCATTTCCTGTTTTCATCTCCAGACTATTTTAATAATCCAATATCTGAAACAATCCTTGCATTGCCAGAGAAAACATGATGAAACTGCAACTGTAGCAAATTGACATATGTCTCTCAAGATCACACATGATGGATGGATAATGTATTAAAGCTCCTTGAAATGCATCCCATTATCATTTACTCAATATTCATGATAGAAACCACTCGGAGGTTTGACACCCTGGGCCATATCCATTCTAACTTGCCATCGTAGACTCTTTCTCTGTTTATCTGATGGTACAGTATATTTATTTTGAACATACACTCTGTGATTTTTCTGAAATAGAGACATTAATTGAATGGGAAACGACAAACTTAAGATAATTTTAGTGTTTAAGTCATCTGATTGTTCAATCACTAAAATTGATTTTAAATTTTTCTATCCGTATTATCTTGACAAGAACACCAAAGTAATTGCAATCAAATTCAGACAAAAACTTTTATAAAGAGTACACCAAAAGAACCTTTATCTATGTTGAAAATTGTTTGTTTTCTCTGTAATTGTCTGCTATGATAATTCTTTAATATATTTGTGTGACAAATATGATGCCATAAAAAAAATCCTCATAAAAGTTGTCCTTTATCATTTAAAATTTAATGGCTACCTTCTCTGGAACCTCTTGAACAGACATTTTTTCTCTAATATTCCATCGTAGATATTTATGATCTTTTTCACCTGGTGCTTTATAATTCTGCCATACTTGTTTAAATTGTTGGTATCTAGCTACTGGGTCAGATTTTCTCAGATTTTTAGTATGAGGATGTTCTGTAGAACGTAATATTACTGATGCTGGTCTTGGATCATCACTAGCTAGTCTGTATGGTGGCTGGTAAAATATTATTTATAAAATAATCGAAAATGAGAGTTTTATATTATTTTAAAAAAAAGTCTGACATTATATAGCCAAACTGTCAAAAATATTATATACAAGTAATCTGATATTGTATTTTTAACTACTGTGCAAGGGACACAAACCACAGAGCGGAAATAAATTTTTAATAGAAACTTCTGATAATAAAGATGAAGACAGTAAAATATTTGGTTGTTGTAATTTCTTACAAAATGTTGCATTGCATACCTCTTCACTATTTCTATAAGATCTAGGTCTTCTGTCAATCTGCATATCATCAAAATCTCTTAATGCTAGTTTCTGTAGACGTTCATGAGCATCTATTATGCTGCCTAAAATAGATAGAAGAATTAGAAAAAATCACTCAAAGCTCAAATTTTTTGATATAATCGATTTAATAATTTGATATAAAGTAGTCAACATTTGCAATTAAAGAAAATCTTAACTAACCTGCATCACTCTCAGTCATGGATTCATCAATAAATTTGCCTCCCTTTTCACTCTTCCTATAAAACAAAAATATTCCAATTACGGCTTATAAAGAGACATAATACACAAAATTCAAATTTGAATCTCTAATAATTTCTGTTAATGAAATGAAAAGAATGACAATTACCTGACAGTTTTTCTTTTCACCAAACGTCTGATGTCAGAATCTGTTTCAGATACATCATCAGGTATATCTTGTTCTTGTTTCTTATAAAGTTGAAAGTTACCTCTTGTAGAATTACCACTGGTTGTAGGTTGTTGACTTTTCCTGCCCTGACTCTACAAAATAAAAAATAAATAAATCCATTGGAAAATTATCATTTCATAATATACAATTTTAAAACTATACTTTATGTGATGCATCTTTAATTTTTGCCCTTACTAAACATTTTTTCATTCTTCTGCTTCATGTTGTTCTTCAGAACTTTCCATATAAATCAAAGCTTGTTAAGGTTTAATATTTTAAGTCAAAATATTACATTTAGTGGTAAAAAAAATCAGAACTCAAAATATACACATGTTAAAGTTGTATTCTCTTTTGTAAAAAGTTCTCTTTATCAAAAACGTCGTAAATTAAATTTGAAAGTATTTCTAAAGTATGCTATTTATATCTGTGTATCTTCTTAATCAAACTGAATTTGTTTTAAATGGGTTCATTAAAAACAGAGAGTACTAATTTTGTTATTTGAGCAGTTTGACCTAGATGTGATATTTGGCTGTATAATGGCTTTAGAATACGTTGGAGGCATATTTCTCTACAGTTAAGCGTTTATTTTTACTAAAACTGTTTACCAGTTTTCATAGTATAACAAACTTAAAAACCTTAGTAACATTTTTAATTCAATGGCTATTACAAATTAACAGCTGGTTTTTTTTTAGCTAAAACTTTCAGATACATTAAAAGGGCAAGTTTCTCTAGATTTTGGTGTATAGTTTTCACAGATTTGAGCAAAAACAAATTATGCGTAATGTCCCTTTAAGACACTTACTTTAATGATATTAATATGTTGTTTTGGTGACTCTATTTCATCATCATCTTCATTATCATTAGACTGACTATCTCTACTTATAGTAATCTTCATTGGTGGTCCTGTATATAGGTAAATAAATCACTTAAGTTGATTCACTCAGAATTAAGTTTTTACATTAAACATCATTTCATTTCTTTAAAATCATGCACTATGCACTAATGCATCACACAATTGAAATTGATATTTGACATGAAATTGACATTTGACCAGAGCGGTCAGAATTGATATTTAACCAGAGCAGTCAGAATCTGAGACCTTCCAGCTGATTGCATTTGCTAGTAGTTGGTAACTTTTTGATAGTAATCTTGCTCATGTTAACTAAAACAAAACAATGAAATGTTTTGAGTCTGAGTTCATTTTAAATAAATGTATCTAGAAGAAACCTCACCTGTCTCTATATCAGATTCATCCTGATAATAAGATGATACACTTGTATTATACGATGTACTTTTATCATGTTGTATCAATAACTTCAAATCTGAAAAGAAACCACAGATTTGAATCTTTAACTGATCTATAAGGCCTGATGCTTTAATACGGGTGACACAATTTGTTAACATCACAGGTCTCAGATGAAAGTTTTCTGACTATAGCTAAACTCTATGAACAAATATCCTTATACATTGACTTAAAAGAGGCTACCCATAAGCATGCTGAATGAAATTCATACATAAGCTTACCTCGTTGAAATTCTTTCAATTTTGAAGCTGGGACATTACGATAGCCTAATCTACTTAATTCTTGTAATATTTCGTCTTCACTGAATTCAAATTCTGTGGCCGTAGTATCTAGTGTTTCCATCTGTAATAAAAGATAATTCTATTATTCATTTTAAGTTTTTCATGTACCTGTAATATATTCATTAACACTAGTAACAGTTACAGTGTAAATGTATAGAATAGTTTAGAATCTAGGATCTACACAATGAGATCTGTAGAATTTCAAACCATTATCAATCACTTAATTTATCAAAATTTCAACCATATTTCATACCAGAATGGTAGCAATAATTCCAAAACTTGTTGATTGTTATGCTGGGTGAATTTCATGATTGGCGAACTACACTGTACATATACAGTGTTTTGATCAACTAACTTGCTGAAAGAATGTTGAAGTCATATATGATTGCAGATAGATACCATATGAAAAGTTTCTAAAATCTAAGACATGAAAAATTATCAGTGCGATTGCAAAGAATCGATCAAGTTTGGACGTGTTTCTGATTTGAAAACTCATGGAGTTTTTATGGTAAAAAAAACCCAACGAACTCACGACAGAATATTGATCAAGTAGCTAAAGGTTAAACAATTAAATTAAAAAGCTACTAGAGTATTTTCGTTGAATATTTTCACTCCAAAAAGGGCTTCTTTCCAGTTGAAATCCTTTTTTAGGCTACTAATCTAATATGAATTTCAATTTTCCACCATTTTGTAAACAAATCCTAACAATTTCGTTTCGCGATAAATCATTGGCTGAAATTTTTTAAAATCAGCCAATGAAATGTCTTTATATTTCAGGAAATATGTTTGCCTAATCACAGGATAATTAAGTGTGAATAGTACGTAAAGGAATAGGCTATTCGCAACATTCTCGTCATTCACATGACATTTCGTTGAATCAGAGTGTAGTATATCTATACTCTCTGGTTGAATATAGGCTAAATAGAAAATGAAACTGACTTTTTACACAAAGTTATATAAAATTTTCACCTATTTTGATTTTAATTTTTTTGTGAATGATCTAATATGTACTATGACAGTGTTCCTTTCTTCCAAAATTGGTTATTAGAAACACCTGAAACATCTGCATCTATTCCACCTTCTTGATATTATCGACTGGAGTAGAGTCAGAAAAACTAGGTTCTGTCTTATGGGTGTTTTCAACACTTCTGCACCAGTCGACAACTTTCAGAATAGCTCCAGAGACTGGAATTGAGGCAGATGTTTCGGTCTAATGATAATCTTGAGGAAACATGTAATATTTGGCAGGAATTTTTATGATCTATAGTTATGGTATGATATTCTGATCTATAATACGAGTCTGAAGTTGCAACTTTCTTGTTACTTTGTAGACGTCACAAAATGCGAAAAAGGAATAATTCACTATTCTTGTAGAATATTTTGAACATTTTTCACTCTTACCATGTTCGCATAAGGTTTTATTTTTACTTCTTGAAAGTATTTGATTGATGAGAGGTTTATTGTGTCGACAGTTATTTCTATTCTTGTAGAAGAGTGAAAGTTTCTTAAAAATTTTACATTTTCTTTCCTGAAAAATGAATTGTCTGAAAGAAGGACTAAAGCCTTTTATATAAGATTATATATTTTTATGTCCATGTTTGCTTCCATAATGTTCTTAGAGATATTTGGAGGAATCTTATAATATATAGGTCGCGGTGACCACAAGAAATTGTAATATAGCCGTCGTATACATTTTTAAGAAGAATGGTGTTGGGTGACGTAGACGATAGATGGCAACTCCTTTTCATGTTTTATATTTTCCGTTTGATAGGTCAAGTAACCCAAACGAAAGGTGAATGACCGGAATAAAGTGCTTCAGTTCCAGTCATTGGCTCGCTGACAAATATTACAAATAAATAACGATGTATGTAATAAGAAACCAAACCTCAAAAGGACAAAACACTGTATAATTAAGTTATAAATATATTAAACAAATTATCCAATTGCTGATATTAAAACTGCCAATAATAGATATATTAATGTAATAATATACAGTAGATATAAACAATTAGATATTCACTAATTAAATTGGGAAGAAATTAGCTCGGTGTGGTTGACCATTCCTTCACCAACAAATTTTATGTATATGACCCAGAGAGACATTAATGTACCTCATCCGATAATTCTAACATAGAATGGGAATTAAGTGAGGAAGTCGCACGCGTTATCTATATTGATTCCATAGAAGGTAGTTTTGGTCACATCACAAACATGGCTTAATGGAGGTGGAGGGCCAGTATGCCGACAGACAATTCACAATCAGAAACTGAGGTAAGACAAATTACAGTTTATACATTAAAAATTCATGATGACATTTCACCAAACTTGCATATACATTGTCATAAATGGTTGCCCTTTTCATTCAACTTTTCCTGATTGTCTAAGAAAGTTTCCAAGTCGACGTTTCTTAACGTAATAAGTTTTAGCTAAAGGCTATGTAAGCAGGTTATATGAAGCATGTTATTTTTATAAATAACATAATCTTTATGTTTGATTATTGACTTTAGCACAATGTTTGCCTCATTAATTTCTCTATTGACTTTTTGAACAGTGTTAAAGATGACACTTGTGTAATTTCTAACAGATAAGACTGGCTTCCAATATACCCCTGACTCCCTAAAATAGTCGAAATCTGAATTTACAGAGTTGCTTAATTAAGTAACATTGGGTCCGTAACGTTTAAAATATAATCATATAATCTATCAAATGTATTTTTGTACCCAATGCCAAAGTACTATGATATTTTTGGGGTAAATGTAAGGGAAACTAATTTCAGCAGATGAAGCATGAATAACAAAGACAGTTTTCAGAGCTCAGAGAATATACAAAAGTATATCAAGACATTTCGTGTTTTCGTGACTGACTTTTGATCTGATTAAATCCATTAAAGATTCTGTACAGCCCGTAATGACACCTTAACGGATGGTCAGAAATGATATCATTATTGACATGGAACCGTAGTAATAGAAGTGTTTATCATTCATTTCTCAACTTCCATCATTCCTATGTAAACTTGAATAAATTCATTCAAATCCCCAGCGGCATCGATGCTGTATTAAATTAGTGTGTGGATTTTGGAAAGATAACTATTCCATGCTGGAGCGGTCGGTCTGTAGATATCCCAGACTAGGTGTTGTTGGTAGTCGTAGTAATTAGACTAACGTAATTGATGTATATTTGTTGTGCTCATTATGGCTCATGAGCATAGAATGAGCTTCCGGAATCTTGGGATTTCACATTTCGTCATATTCCATGCTCTACATATCACTATGCATGTAAAATATATAATGTATACACCAAGTAATATACAAATGGAAAAATTCCTTTTTATAGCAATAATCAAACGCGTAAAGTAATTTGTGGAATTAAAAACATATATATAATATTTTGATGGTGATATGTGGGATAAGTGGGAATATATACCAGTGCTAAAGTTATAATGACAATCAGTGTAAATTGTTATGAATTCCCTCTCGATTTAAATTATATATCATGTTATTGTAATATGCCATTCATATCTCAGTGTTACTTATATACGCTTGTTTTATTATGAAATCACACTGAACAAGAACTTTTGGCACGCCCGATGTAATCTGAATAAATCAAAAGAATCAGTCTTTGATCAGAATGAAATTGTTTCACATTGTTTGATATATTAAGTAGGCCTATGTGTGAGCTATGATAATCTTAGATTATTCGTCTGGTCGAGACTAGGAATCTCCATCAAACCAATGTAGGACGAATTTAAAGGATTTTGTACAGACCTTACATACGTATTTGATATCTCATTTCAGCTTCTTAAAAGAGTTATTTTCAGTTTAAGATAGTTCCCTTCTACTCGAAATTGCAAAAACGTATTTAAAATTACGAATGTTACAGCATATAGGCGTTCAAGTTATTTTTTCAATTAGATTTGAATGTTGATGTATTGCGTCTTATAAGACATTAGCTTAACATTTATCATTTAAATTCGAGCAACAGAGAAAATCCTTCACAGTATGGTTGAAAGTGATAGGATGTAGCGTGGTTGAGAGAATTCTTTACTTTCTATATTTCTGCATGTTGCAACAATAACGAACATTTTTATTATTAGCATAAGAACATATTATATTCTTTAAGTCGTATGTAATAGTTGATGGTAAGATGGTGTCACAGTTTATTGTAATCAGATTGGTAAAAATATTCTCCAACACTCATTAAAGATTTCACTCCACAGAAAGTATTCAGTCTAATGTTTGAATAGGAAACACTTGAGGTTAGCTCTGTTGGCTTACTTGGGGATTAACATTCAGACGGGGTCTTGGAAATCCCCAAAAAATTATGACCAGTTTTTGCCTGTTTTTGCATCATATCTCTTGTTGCATGTCTTTGTAAGTCCGGTAAGATCCTCAAACCCATTTCCAATTTGGCAGCAGGAAAATGCTTTTTTGTTGGTTGTTGATCTCACTGGAATAGCAATAAAATCTAATAAATTTTCCATTTAAAAAGAACCTGTCAGACATGATTAAAATCTAAGAGGTAATTTAACTTGATATTTTAAGATATAAAATGACATTTAAGTTTTTTATGTTTCTTATGTACCCACTTTATTGATTATCTGACAAATTAGTGTAGAGCATCACAGACATATTATTTAATGTTCTGGGTTTATATTAGTGGACATTTATTAATATTTAATGTACATCTCACACGTAAGAGGCATAAACCATATCGAATGTGTAGGAATTGCGAATTCTTATATTTCATTAAGAAATAAAGTCGATCTAACGAAATGGTTCGGTGAGAGTTCATAGATTCACCTCAAAGTTTTAACGATATATTACAAAAAGAATGAATTTAATATAAAGGAATTACCAAAAGTACAGCTTATCTTCTGCACGAAAAGATTAAAAATCCACCTATGCAATGCAATTTTCAGAGTATAGATATATGCCCTACTTAATGAAGTAAACCATAGTCAAGGATGTCATGAAAATATCTGTTGTGTGAACGAGTAAGGTAACAACCTGATTTCCTGTCGTCACTTTCGCCAGTGTAATTTTATATATTTGTAGCGGCCGAACAGGACACAGGATTTTCATTCTGAAAAAATAGATACGCCGATAACATTGAGTTCTATCATCCACAAAAATCAATGATCAGATTCCTCAAGCCTTTTTCGATCTTATTTTGAGATAAAATAAGGCACAATATTTTCATAATATACTACTTTTTCTGATCTAGACGTGAATTCTTTACAATTCTTATACAAAGACTGAAAAACCTCTTTACAATCCCTTTAAATAAATATATCTGGCTTTCGGTGTAAAATCATTAAATTAAAACGTTGATCTCTTGTCGTAATATGTAAATCACCATCCACTATAAAGCTATAACAATAAACGTTATAATTCCTCATATCATTATTATTCACGATAATTGGATCAGTTATGAATATTGCGAGGTAAGAAATGTATAATCTTAGAGAATCACTGCTTATAAATGGCTGTTTAGAAATGACTGATACTCATTGTGATTTTTATTAGATTCTTAAAACATCATATTTATTCCAGGTTTATAGCGCAGATTTCCATATTACATTAACAACAAACCACATTCGTCTCGAGAAAACCCATTTATCAACTGACTCTTGAATTTTTATACCATTTAGAAGACAGATTTCTCAGTTTCTCTCTTTATATCCTGCCATAAAGTCAATTAACACTTTTTAGTCTGATTTCTTAAAAGGATAAAGCGGTTACATCATTTAATGTTCAGAATGAAATCCAACTCATTTATGTGATAGGCCTAACAGTTTCGTTTTTGCTCTACTTATAATATTACAGATGATATATGATGACCTTTTAGTTGATGTTACTCTGCTTATAATATTACAGATGATATATGATGACCTTTTCTTTGACGTTGCTCTACTTATAATATTACAGATGATGTACGATGACCTTTTCGCTGATGTTGCTCTACTTATAATATTACAGATGATATATGATGACCTTTTCGTTGATGTGGCTCTGCTTACAATATTACAGATGATATATGATGACCTTTTCGTTGATGGTTCTCTGCTTATATTATCACAGATGATATATGATGACCTTGTCGTTGATGTTTCTCTGCTTATAATATTACAGATGATATACGATGACCTTTTCGCTGATGTTGCTCTACTTATAATATTACAGATGATATATGATGACCTTTTAGTTGATGTTACTCTGCTTATAATATTACAGATGATATATGATGACCTTTTCTTTGACGTTGCTCTACTTATAATATTACAGATGATGTACGATGACCTTTTCGCTGATGTTGCTCTACTTATAATATTACAGATGATATATGATGACCTTTTCGTTGATGTGGCTCTGCTTACAATATTACAGATGATATATGATGACCTT